GACCGATGTCCGTAAAAAAAAACAAGGACGAAAAGTGGTTACCCCAATGGAGCGATCTATGACTATTATAGCCTTTCGTATTCCTAGTTTTAATGAAATTTTTTACTGTAAGTTGTACAGTCAATTCGCACATGCGAGACAGTTATTTGTTTTCTATTAGTAACACATTATACACATTCCCTAGACAATTTTGACGATAATCTTGTAATAATCAAGTCGTAATTGACTGTTACTTGTAGAGTATGACTCATTGGATCGGTTTCGAACTTGCAGCTAGGTCCGATTCATAGTGACCATATTTCCATAGGCCAGACGGATATATAATATTCTTTTAACTTAGAAAGACTTTATTTACTGCTCGGCATTGCTTTATCGTCTTTCAAATGGCAATATAATCAGAAACAAAAAATTTTTACTGAAAAAAATTTTCTGAAAGTCCCTTACTTTATATATACACGTGGAAAATTTTCTTGTACGAAGACTAATACATTATACATCATTCGATGCTGATTTCGAATATGATGTTAGTCTTCAATGGAAGTGTTACTATACCGCGAAAAATGAGTTTTATCTAGAAAATCTTTAGCTTAGCTCTGGAACGCTCGCACTAATGCTGTATAGGTGTTATCAGTGGAGAAGTATTTTATGAAAGTTTTGGTTCAATTTGAAGTTATGAAAACTTGTGCAAGTTCACTATACTGAAAACATGTTTCTGTAAAAGCGTTCGATGTTAAAGTATGACTTTTTTCGTATCTCAAACCGATAAAAGCGAAAGTTTCTTTTTTTTACAAATCGATAGAGTCAAAGATGAAATTTCAGATTATATATAATTTTCTCAGGAGTATTTTCTGTTGTTTTTGACTAATCGTAAGAAAGGCTTTTATGTTATTAAATAACCCGTACATCAGAATATATGTTGCTCTATTTAAGTCATTAACTATTGAAAAGCAAGTAATACAATGTATGTACTATTGGCTTAAAAAATTAACATACCACGTTGTGATGTTTTTTCATTTTTAGAATTAATAATATAATCGTCATTATGTATGAAAATGCAATTCTTGCATTTTAATTATGGAAAAGTTCTGGTTTTTTTTTGTTTGATAAGTAAAAACGAAAGAAAAAGAAAAAAAATAATGAATCAATCGTTCATTCATATTTATCAAAGAGCAGTCCTTGGCTTTCACTGTAAAAAGAGAGAGATAAGGAGAATGTATACAAAAAAAAAATAGGACAAAATATCCAATGATAATGACATAAATTTACAGAAAAAAAAGATTTAATAAATAGATACATGTACATAAACAAGATATAAAGTATATTTTGGTATCTCAAATGAAATATTTTACATGTAAAACCATGTAGAATATGTAAATGACATAATGAAAAACATAAATGTTAGATAATCTAATTTTTTAAGATGATTTATCGAAGGCTTTAAATAGAAGTGTTGATCTTTTAAGGTGTTTATCTTTTTCCATGATGAGTATTAAATCCTGAAGATTTGCTTGACATTTACTTTTTTTTAATCTCTGAAAAAAAAAATAAATTAAGAAAATTGTTTTCTCATATGTGTTTATTCATATATAAGTAAACATACTAATCTTTTATTGAGATTAACTATAGTTGATGATTGATTAGAAGAAATTCGTCTTGTTATTTGTTGATCATGATTTTCACTTTCATCAAATTTACGTTTTTGTGTTGTTCCATCGGTTAATGTTGTTTCCATTTGAGTCTGTTGTATCTGTTTCAAACAAATAGACAATATCAAAATCAAGAAAGAAAAATTCTAGATATTCGAATATTCTTTACTTCTTTAGAATCATCGATTGTTTGTTGACTCTAATAAAGAAAAATAATGAATAAATAATTTTTTAGAAAATATATCAATTAACTAATCTCTCATTTGTTTCGTTATGTGAGAAATGATTTTAAATCCATATTTCTTATTATTTTTTTCTTTTTATAAAGAAAAAAAGAACTCGATATATTTTACCTGAATAGAAAAATTCTTTCGTTGTTGTGAAACTAATTTAATTTGTTCAATTAAATATTTAAGTCTTTCTTCAGTTGCAATAGAAATAAGTGCGAGAACAGAATCATCATGTATTGTCATATTACTATTTTCCCATCGTTTATCTTTTTTAACTAAAGAAAATTCATTGAAAACAAGATAACAAAACTAAATTTTTATTTTTACCTATATGATCGAAACGTCGACGTAAAAGAACTGTAGACAATAATCTATCATCATGAGTGATATGACGCATATGACGATCATCAATAGTACCAGGTGCTGTTGTCAATAAACTATTATTTCCAAGTAAATCATCAGATGGTTTATCTTCATTTCTATAAAAATAATCATATATCTAGTAAATTCAGAAGGTTTTTTTTCTATAATGATTTAAAGAATAGATTTTGTTTCTATTGGAAAATAATGGAAAAAGAAATTTGATTTTAATTTTATAAGATTGCAGATATTGATTGTATTTACTAACGTCAGAGAATTGAATATCATTTCAAGTCCCGAAATAAAAAAATGTTTGTCTTATCATCATCTAGATATTCTAAAGAAGGATTTGCACTATTTGGAAATGGTTTTAAATTTCTCATTCGGTTATAAGAGCATTTTTTTTTTCGTTTTTTATATTCGTAGTTCATCATGTCACTAAAGCTTGGTTTTTTTTTTGCTGACAACTCCTACGTATAAATGTCTCTAGTGTTGATTTTTTCACAGTATCTAGAGTAACTTAACATACAAAAATTGGTTTACAACACTTATCGAAGGCTGAAAAATTTTAAGAACATGTTTGACTAAAAGCATTCTCTGCATGCTTCAAGAATTTAGAAGAAAATCATCATTCACTAATAAAGTCGATTTTATTTGGTTTTGTAGCACTACGATAAGGCATAATAAACAAGTAAAAATAGAATTTCCAAGCTATCAATATTTTTCGAACGGCTTTTGCTAACAAAAAATTTTTGCAGCTAATAAATGATTTCAAAAAATAAGACTTTCTACTAAAAGACAACTAGTTAAAACTATCAGTAAATTTTGTAAAAAAAAAATAATCATAAGATATTACAACCAGCAAACTCTCACGTCTGGATTTCTACTAAACAGTTAGTTTCTACAAAAATCGACATTCTTATAAATTTCAATTGAAATACAAAATAGTATTCTGTACAATCACTATTTTAAAATAATCTAGTGATAATTATTCAATCTTACTTCAGAAAAAAATTCTGATTCTAAATAACTCTAATTAGATGTCTTTAAATAGCCGAAAAATTAACGAGTCTCTACGATGAGTTGTTGTCATATTATATTAAAGCAAAAAAAGAAAAATCTAATGCAGAACTTTTGCATTATTCATTTGTTGATAAATTAATTTTTTAATATATATATATATATGACTAACTTAAGTATAGTTCTCTGTTGAATTTGAATTTGTGGTTGTTGTTGTTGAAGAGATGAAGTACTAATTAATGATGTTGGTTGATTTGTAACAATTTCAGTTCTAATTGGTTGATGATTAACAGTTATAATTTGTGGTTGATGAAGTGTTGTTGTTGTTGATGGTGATAAAAATGTTCGTTGTAAAAGTGAATCAGATGGTTGAATAATTGTTTGTGAAACTGGTTGAATTTGTTGTTGTCCAGTAAGAAGATTTGTATTTGATGATGGAGAAACAGATGCAACAAATGGACGTATACCAGTTATACTCTAAAAAAAAAATGTTTGATTTAGAATATACAAGAAAAATATTTATTCAATTTACAATTTGAGCTCGAGCTTGTTGTTGTTGTTGTTGTTGCTGTCCAAGTAATGATGCTGTTGAACTAATTAATGCTGATTGAGAAGTTTGTTGTAAAAGATTTATTTTTTGTTGTGGTTGTACTGTCGTATATAATAATGGTTGTTGAATATTTGATGTCGATGTGTGACTTAATAGAGATGGATTTACAACAACTCGAGATGTTGCTGGTGTTGGTATTGAAGTTGTATTTGTAGCATTACTTTTACTTGATGGTAAATTTAATTTTTCTAATAATTCAATTGTTATTGGTCGACCAAATGTATTTTTAACGATTTGACGCATATGTGGTAATGCTAACTATAAGAAATAGAAAAATTTTCATTGATAAGTCAAATCGGAGAGTTTTTTTTTTTTTCTCAATGATTATAAATTCATAATCTTTGTTAAACAGCTATATCAACTTTAAGAAATTTCTTTGTAAGACACTGATTCGAACTGATACTAGCTGTTTGAGCTTACGAAGACGCCTTGGTGAACTTAACAAACGTCTAAAAGGATTTGTCTGCATGAGCCTTTGAAGCCGAGTTGGAATCATTTTATTGAATTTTCGATGTGAAATTTAGCCGCTGAATATTTCTGCACATTGAAATTCTGTTTTTTGATCTTTCAATATAAATCTAAAACTGGATCGAAAGTTCAGTAAAAGGATTATAACTCGGCTTCAATGGCTCATAAGAATGAATTCTTTTAAAACTTTTGGTGATCTCACCAAGACATCCTTGCAGACTTAATATGAGCTTCGACGACAGGTATCAATTCCCTTGGTTCCCTCACCAATATTTATAATTATCATCTTTCGGTATTGTTTTTGTTGATAATCTCTATAGTAACAAACCTAATTCAGATTGCAAAGAAACATGAATATACTATAAAATACGGTTGAATGAATCGAATAGACTGAACAAAATCATTCTGCCTTTCATAATTACACATCAGTAGTTTCAATTCATTAGTCATAGAAAAAGGATCGATAGATGATATTAGTACAAAAACACTGAATGTATATCCAGTCAGACCTAAGATTGGTGCATAGCTAATGTAGTATTTACAAGTGATCATTTTGAATATTATTTTTTAAAATTCGTTCGTATTAACAAAATCTTCAAAAACTATGCAACAGTAAAATATTCTGAATAGTTACAGATAATTCAAAAGTCATCCAGCAATTTTTGATTGGGAATAATTTTTATTAGGAATAAAAGAATTGTGTCTTGCACTATTTGAAAGACGGTGTCTCACTGCATGGTTCAATCAGTTAGTGACCTTCAGAAAAATACTCATAATTCTATGAAGATGACAAGAAGTTTATTCTTAAATAATGTAGAAGATCGTAAGTATATTTCTGAAGTCTACTGATTGACAATTTATTCGTCAATCGACAGTGTTCAATCACACATGCAATGACAAAGCTTGCCGGATAACATTTAAACTACTCTCTATATATATCCTATATCAGATAAAATATATGAACTTATTTTTGATTCATAAATCATTACTTTAAAAAATGGTACAAGTGATGTATGTGGTTGTGATTTATAAAGTGTATGTAATCGTTGAGTAAATGATTCAGGATCAATAGTTCCATCTAAAAGATCTTGTATACATGATCGAACCATTGGTAATTTTTCAGGTGCTTGTTTTTCAGCAAGTTTAAGTAATGTTGTTAAAAATGTTCGACATTTAGCAACAAAATCATTTATTTGAGCATCAGTAAATTTTTGTGTTTGTTGTGATGTTACTGTTTGACGAATAACTGGTTGTGCAACAATTTTTGTTGGTAAAATTGATGATTGTTGTTGAATAACAGGAGAAGAATATTCTTAACAAAAAAAAAAACAAAAATTCGTTTAGATTTAAATTCCATTGTTTTTTTTGTGTTTTCTACCCTTTTGAATAGTTGATGGATATTGAAGTTTTGGTGATGGTGATTGTGTTGTATTATTTGTCCAAAGAGTTTGTGATGTAAATTGATTTTGTGTTGATAATGGTGTATTAAGACGAACAATACTTGTAGGTGTTGTTATTGTTCCACTAGATATTGATTGTTGATGTAGTTGCTGTTGTTGTTGTTGTTGAATAAATGTTCCATTTTGTGTATTTGTATGTCGAATATTTTGTGTTGTATTTCCAATATTATTTATAGTTAAATTATTATTAACTGATTGAGTAAATAATAATGTTGTCTAATAAAAATAAAAATAAAAAATTTTTTTTTCGTTTTTTAAAGATAAATTTCTATTTGAATTAATTTACTGATGTTGGTAAAACTTGAAGTTTACTTGTATTAGAAAATGAAGATGGAGATGAAGTCATTGCTAAGAATACAAGGAAGATATTAATTGAAATTTTATAATTATCAGTAGAAAAAGAAAATAAACATAAATTTAGTTAAACGAATGAATAATGCTGTACTACACTGGAAAGATTACTTAAAAAGACAACTATATTTTAATGGTATGTATGACGACAATGGATAAATCTCGATAACCAATCGATAAGTAATATTCTATAGATGGAGCTATTAAACAGTTTTATGTTTAAGCATCCTATAACAACAACAAGCTCTTGTCTTCTCAGAGATTATTACCGATGTGAAACGATATCAAAAATATTTTCATAAGCTTTCCAAAAGATGATAGATCAAGTTTATATAATCATCGATCGAACGTAGGAATATCAGCGGCAGCAAGATTTTCAACCAGGAAAAGGCTGACGAGGGAAGATTTCTAAGTATCAAATCGCTTTTGAGTTAGAACTATATGTATCAGGTAGGTTCTAATGAGCTATGAATATCTTGAAAACAGCTCGGACTAATAGCTTATTACTGCCGAGATAATGCATTTTTTGCAGAATGTCATAGTCCTCCTTAGGAAGACTGAGTTTCGAATTTCAACTTGAAACTTTGCATAGAAACAGGTTTTAACGAGAATAACATATTGTGAAAATGTCAGATTCTTTGATTGCGTCTATATTGAAATAAGAGCATCGAAATCTACCGTTATATATGAATATAGTAGAAAAACATGTATTTGACATAGCCATATCTTAGAATAGAACAAATCAAAAAGTCTGATACTTCTACAATATACTATTTCCATTAACGTCTGTTGCTACACAAGGTTTCAAGTTGAAATTCGAAAATCAATTTTCCTAAGAGAGACTACAATACTCATGAAAAAAACTGACGTAAAAGTGCAGTAGTATCCCAGCAACAATAAGCTAAGGGTATGAACTCTTTTCAAGGTATTCATAGCTCATTAGAAATTATGCATGATGCACATAGTCTCGACGCAAAAGCGATTTGACACTTAGAAAGGTTCCTTCGTAGGTCTTCTTAGACTTCCTGTGGGACTACAGTTATTTTTGGAAAGTATCAAAATATTAGAAAATGAACAGAATTTCTAACTGTAGAAAATTCAATACATTTTTTATCAATATGTATTTAATTACTAGAATGAATACGTTTATGTTATGTTCGATAGTTAGATGTATAGGCGTGTGTGTTCGATGTCTGTTAGAACATAACTGACTAGCTGTTTATTCAACAAAAAACATGTATATGTATAATAAAAGAAAAAACAAGGACTAGAACGAGGTGAGAAAGAAATAAACACGAATATAGATGTCATGACCAACACATATCATAACACTCTTCCCCTTGAAGAAAAAAGTTTTGTTCACAAACACTTTTTACTGAAAGAACATATGAAAATAACAAGAAAGAAAAAAGAAAAAAAACATGTATACAATATCAATAATATCTGACAAAAAAAAAAAATATATATAACGAAAGACAAATGAAAAGAAAATATCTGTTGGACAAACAAAATCTGATAGATGAAGAAGAAAAAAAAGAAAGAAAAAAAACCGGAATAAGTTACCGTTCGAATTAATGATCACCTTCTAAATCTCCAATAATTCCTTGTGTTGAAACAATTGTATGGTAGTATTTCTTCATAATCACGTCGAGCTTTATCAGTTTTAACACCTATAATCACTTCATCATCTTGAAATTTCACATGTCGATATTGTACACCATAATATCGAAGAACTTTTTTAACGATTCTTGGTTTAAATCGATAATAATATGATCTTATTAAATAATATTTATATCGAAGTGATCTTAATTTGTTGTTTCTTTTTCGGTTCTTTTTTTGTTTTGCTTGAAGTGATCGTTTTTTCTTGATTCGTTGTTGATGATGTTCATTTGGATTATTCATCCCGTCAACAACCACGGAGTGGTTGTTAACACTGTTCACTTGATCATTATCATCTTGTCCGAGTTCGTCTATAACTTGTAATGGTTCATCATTAGTCATAATTGAAAATTAAGTTTCGTCGTTGAACAAGTAGGACAGAATCAACTCCTGAATAAGAAGGATTCCTTCTTTAAAAAATTATAAGTATAATTGTTGTTGAATTAAAAGAAAAAAATTCTTTTTTTTTTTCTTCTAAACCGCTGTCACCACTGTTATGTTCGATAGTTAGATGTATAGGCGTGTGTGTTCGATGTCTGTTAGAACATAACTGACTAGCTGTTTATTCAACAAAAAACATGTATATGTATAATAAAAGAAAAAACAAGGACTAGAACGAGGTGAGAAAGAAATAAACACGAATATAGATGTCATGACCAACACATATCATAACAGTTTATGTTATTAATCTACACTAGGGATGCGTAGTGTTTGTGTAAATATCGCATAGTAAATCATCGACACAGGCTCCACAAGGGTGCTGATGACACTGACATCGGTGTTCACTAATAGAGATACGCAATTAAACGATGTTTCGACTCAAATCAAGCCAAATCAAAGCAAAATATGAATTATTTCTATGAAAAAATAAATCAGATCAGTTACATCGAAAATGGATTTTAACCTTCAGTCACTCCAAACGTTCAAAGCTAGAGATAAAAATATGGCTATTGAATAAAATGCTTCTAATTAATAATGCATTTTTTGATAAAAAGAAGGAATCATCGTTTGATGATTTGTCATAAGCAAAGCCCAAAAATTCATATAGTCATATCTTTGAAGTTTTTATTATAATACTCTCATGCGTGTGCCAAGTAAAATCTGAAATAGTATTCAACATATCAAAAATTCTTATTGTCTTTTTTATATAAGAGACATTCCAATGATCATCTTTATTTTTTATCATATTGAAAACCTTTAAAGAACTTACCATGAATTGTTCTATGTATGTGTTAAACTTGATGAAGAAGACTTAGTAGTAATTGTTGAAATGATTGAATCTATTGCTTATATTTGGATGTCATCTTGAGAACAAGACAAGTTAGTTGTCGAAAGAATTATTTTCTTGATTTATATTAAAGTTAATTATTATTTATTAGAGTATTTATTCAATTTATTGCTATAATACACAAAGAAATTAAATTAATGTATTTTCGTTTAACAAATTATTGGGAAATGAAATGAAACATAAGAATTCACAAAAAAAAAATTTTCTACGTATTTCCAAATCATTGATTTTATTTCAATGTGAAGTGACACAATGAAAATATTTGCTCTACTCAATCTACATCTTCAGGCTACTACTACTGGTACCTAGATTTAGATATCCTTCATGGCAAGAAGCATTCTTTCATCTTGCACAGAAAAGTTGTTATTATTGTATTCTAGTTGATCGTTTGAAGTATGCTTATTTGTATGATATTCATAAGTTCAGCGCATAATCTGCATATGAAAACAAAGCTTGATTTAGGCGGTATGTATAGAGGTTTTTTTGACCCGATTTCAATTGTTCATCTGTGCTTGCAGCTACATTGGAAGACCAACTCTATCAATACATACCTTTTTTGTAGCTATGTGTTCCAATACTTCAGTGACATCGATGGTTAATAAACTGAAGCTACACATCTTTAGTCTGTACGATAAAAGCGAAAGCAATGAATCATACCAAGATCTAAGTTTTCGAGAAAAAAAATATTACATTATGGATATGTTCATACAAATAATTATTATTTACAGCTTCATATATATTTTAAATCTTGAAAATTATTCATGACCATGCCGAAGTTAAAAGCCAATAATTGATAGATAGTGACCTAGATCTTTATAATCAATTGGGATGTTAGAGAATAAAAATATTTCTTTTGTATATATATCTTATACAACATTCTTTAGGAGGAAATATATACAAATTCAAATGAATTTTATGAAAATAATGTACTAGAAAAATAAAGTGCGAAAAAAAACTAGGATCATCTTTTGTTTTTTTCCTCGAGGAAAATAGGTGTTATTGAGTAAATATGAATGCTTCGCAGTTTGTTTTTTTATTTGACAATTAAAGGTAATACATAATCGTATCAAAGAGGATTTTCAAATTAAAATGACTATTGCATGTTTTAGTTATCTATTAATTTTCTTCATGAACTTTAAGAAATATGTGAAATATGTATTGATTTTAAGATATAATATCATAACTAATTTGATTATTATTGTAGATAGATAACTTGATCATATCATAGATTTAATACAATAGGTTTTCATTAAAAACCAAACTTGCAAGTCACTATAAAATCTTCTTTATTTTTGAGTTGACATTTAGTAATACTAATAGGTCATAATGAATAAGGTGAAAAAAAATAGTCATATCACGCACGGCCCTATTTATCTGAAGTTCATTTTATATATTATTTCTCTCTGGAAAGGTTGTTTCTCCGATTATTTACAATGACTACTGTCCAAACTTTAAACAATATATCTCAACAAATTAATATTTATTTGGGAACAATTATGTTCATTTTCGGTCTAATTGGATGTCTATGGAATATACTCATATTTCGTCATTATTCTCTTCGTTTAAGTTCATGTTGTGTATATATGTCAATTGGTTCTTTAGCTAGTCTGATTCAAATAATATTTGGTTTATTATTTCGAATCTTAGATAAAGGTTTTCAACTGGATTGGACATCAACTAATATAGGATGGTGTAAAATGCGAAATTATATAACCCAATGTGCATCTTTAACAGCACTTTCATGTTTTGTATGGGCTACAATAGATCGATTTTTTTCTACTTGTCGTCAAATAAAATGGCGTTCATTCAATTCAGTACATATAGCTAAAGAAGTTTGTTTATTAACAATAATTATATGGATGTTAACAGCTATTCCAACACTTATTTATACAAAACCTATAAAACCAGAACAATTTTGTGGAAGTTCATCATTTATATGGTCAATGATTTCAATTTATTTTTTTAATCTATTTTGTTATGGAATATTTCCATGGTTATTTATGAGTATATTTGGAATATTAACATTAAAACATCTTCGTCAAACTCATCGACAACGTATTAATCCATTACGATTAACAATTTTAACACGTATGGCAAATATTGATCATCAATTAACATCAATGTTATTTTTACAAATAATTATATCAATTATATCATCATTACCTTATTGTATACAAAATATTTATGATAATTTAACATCTACAATAATTAAAAATGAATATCGTCGAGCACAAGAAAATCTTTTTCTTCAAATAGCTCGTCTTACTTTTTATTTTAATTATATATCAATGTTTTATGTAAATTATTTATCATCACCAATATTTCGACATGTATCAAAAAAAGTTTTAATTAATTTATTTAAGAATAAAGATGATGTTTCAAGAGATATAACAATAATTAATCATCAAATCAGTGAAATACAAATACAAGGAAAACATATTAAAATGTCAACTATTCAGACACCTTATATAATATCACGTCTTTAAATTACATTTATTTTTTTTTTCTTTTTATTAAAAATAAAATTATTCCAGAAACTTTATATAATCAAGCTATTTCAAACATTATACGATTGAACAAATGTTTGAAAAATTTAATAAAGAAATATTGAACATTTTAAAATATAATATGCTCTACTGTTTTCAAATCATTTTTGAATAGGAACATCATAGAGATCTGCGATATTCTGAAGCTATTTCTCTTTTGATTTAGGCCTCAATAAGAACAATCGATAAAAAAATGTCTTCTCTTTCGATCTATGTAAGGGCGATGTTCATAGCTTCTTCCGTCCGATAGTTATAAAACATTTCCTGAGACCTCCGACTTCAGTCAATTGACCTGTGATCACTCGAAGAAGCAACTAGCCGAGAGTAATTCAGCATGTTGAGTCGAGTGATAATATATTTTTCTAGGATCAAATCAGTTCGAATCTAAAAATAAATCTTACTATTCAACTTTACACGATGAATTACTGCTACATAGTAGCTTTTCAAGAGAATCATAGGTCGATTAGCTGACACCGAGAGTCTCAGGAAAAGTCTTATAACTCTCGAACGGAAATAGCTTTAGTATATTATTTTCGAAAATCTCCACTAAAAACTCATCCGATTATTCAATTGCTAATCAATCACATTTCGATATATTTTGATGGTCCCAAGTGTACATTCACGAATGATGAAAATCGTAGGTCTCTATGATGTTACTATCAAAAGTTATTTAGCAAATAGTGAAGCACACCATATTTTGAAATGGATAGTAGTATACATACATTCAGAACATTATTTTCTCATCATTTGTCTCTATATTTGACATAGATTTAAATGCATTCTCACCGATAGAAGACCCACTTAGTTCATTAATTTCTCAACAAAAAGAAAAAATTAGAACTTTAATTAATATATTTATATCAAAATACATCTATAAAATCAATGAAAAGAACGAATTTCAAATGAATTTAAATTCTAATTTTTTATTTTTAGCAGCAGCTGAAGAGAATGTAATACACAATATCAGAAAGAAAGACTATCGAAATGACAGAATTTACTTTTGCAGAAAAACTGCAAAAGTAAAAATTCTGTTTAGACTAACTTTATGTTGGAAAGTACTGATATTGTGTAATTACATTTTTTATCACTGTTATATAGTGACGAATAACATAAGAACAGAATGAATGTAAAATTACGTCATCGTATAGTAAAATACATTTGATTGCATGTTTTAAACAGCCGATATATGTATGTTATACGAAGAACGAAAAAACATTCAGATGGTTATGTTATTCGTCACTATATAATAGTGATAAAAAATGTAATTACACAATATCAGTACTTTCCAACATAAAGTTAGTCAATACAGAATTTACTTTTACAGTTTTTCTGCAAAAGTAAATTCTGTCATTTCGATAGTGTTTCTTTCTGATATTGTGTATTACATTCTCTTCAGCTGCTGTTAAAAATAAAAAATTAGAATTTAAAAATACGTCTATCTTTCAGAGTTTTGAACTAAACATCTTAAAAGACTGAAGTCAGTATTATTTCTGAACTTTTAAATTCCTAAAAATATCTTCCTAAATTCTTAAAATCATTTTGGTTTTTGAAAAAAAACCTTTTAATTAAGAAATCATGGAAATAAAAAGAATACAATAGAAGAATTGAGGTCTTCTATTACGGCGATGATGTGTATAAAAATAGCCAAAATTCAATTATTATTTAAAAAAAATTTCAATCTTTTTCTTCTCCTGCTCAAAAAAAAGACAATCACAATAATTAAGTGTACTCAGTGTTATTTAAATACCTATGAAAATTTATAAAATAGTACTTGAGATTAAATAGTTGTTCATTGAAGTATTTTCAATTTCTGGCGTTTCTTGCTCAAAACCAATCAGTCAGAGTAAATAAGTATTTGATTATTTATTAAACTGTTTTTGAAATTAAATAGCTACCTACTTGCAGAGATTGAAAAAAATCAAGGTGAATGTTCATTAAACGTAAGTTTATCCTTTCATAAAATATCTTATCTATCAATAACTTTTAACAAACGTATATAATGAAAAGTTTTTATTCTTAATAAACCTTTCAATAATCTACAATATCACACTTAACTATGAGAAATATACGTAGAGATAGAAAAAGAAAAAGTAATTGAATTTTTCTTTTGAGAATTGTTTTATATTTGTCTTATCGTTATCGCATTGTCACATGGGAAACGTAACGGCACAAAATGTCAATCTCTATTTCTCTTCGATAAAAATTTGTTGACAGAACACTTTTTTTTATCAAACGATAGAATTTTTTCTCTTCTTTTGAAGCGTATATAATGTTTTTTTAATAACACATT